TGTATATAGAGATACACAGATTTCTAGATATGAACTTTGAGACATTAAAGTGTATGTTACATAAATACATTCAAGTTTTTTGAACTAATTATTTATCTACTATGTGTTCTGAACTAAAAAGCGTTGTGGCTATATTTTTACGCATGTGTAATTTAAACAGTTAAAAGAATGGTTTTAATCCATTTTAACACTCCTACATTTTTAACTATACGTACCCTAATATTTATACTTTTTATTTTGATTAATAAATAGCTTTATATTTAACCTCTAAAACTGTGAGTGAATAATTTTATAGATTGGTGATTAAGAGTAGAAGATCATTTTCCAATGTCTGGTATAATCCTTGTTGTGGCCCTTGTTTGTTGCATTAAAAGTAGAAGATCATTTCCCTGGCACAAATATAGTCATCGTTAAATCCTGTAATAAGTTCTTTCAAGAATGAGAAAGCACTCAAATAGTGCTCATTCCGTTTTTGTAGCTCAAAACATTTACCATTTTCAGTTCTGCATTTCAAGTTCATGATCATATTAATTTCTTCAAATAATGTTCTGTGAAATCCATTCTTTGTTAGGCTTTTTAAAATGCATAATGATTGTTGCTATTTGTTGCTTTTTCGTATTGGAAATATGATCCCCTGAAAGAGTATTGAGCATACATGGCCAAGAACCCCTTTCTGTATTGGAGTATTGTTTAAAACTTATAAAACCTCTTGTTTATGATTTTAAAAAAGCTTGTATATTTTTTTATACTAAAAGCCTAAAAACTGCAAAAATGTATAACTTTTTACCCAAAATATACACTTCGTAATTCGTATTTAACCTTGTCTTGTTTTTGACCTTTACTTACCAACTTGATTGTGGCCTTTTCATTGAGGTATCAATCCGCCCTTCCTGTAAATATATTTAAATATAAATATTAACATTAGATAAACATTACCACCAATGAACTGCAATTGTAAATTTCCTTAATGAAGTTTGAAGGTGATACCTGATCAGAATTGCTAATTTTCCAAGAAGTTTGGAATTTGGAAGGGTTGTGGTGTGAAACTCCCAATTCAACTGGTATTTATAGCTCCTGAAGATCAAGAAACCATTATGTATTAACCAATGGAAATTTGGATGTTGTTATACGCATTAAATGTTCTTCTCAGCCTCACAATTTTTTTTTGTATATTAAAAGTATTTTAAAGATTTTTAAGATATGGAAGTACAGTGCATTTAATGTTGTGTGTGCTCCTTTTAATGCTTTGTAGCCCTGTGCTTGCTTCAACATACGGGTCCACATCCCGGTTTTACCACTTTGAATTACAGAGTACATAGCATTTATTGTTTTTATGGAGCCATGAGCTTAAACACTGATGGGACTTTATTGAGCCTCAAAAATGGTCATATCAGCCAACAATAATTGACCATAAGACAGATCAACAACAATGGGATAATGGTCCAGAATTAAAGCACAACATTTGTTCCAGAGTCCAGACCCGAATCTCAGTAATAAATGTAACCTTTAATGAACTGTACTTTTTGCTCAGCAAACCCTCCAGACCCGAATCTCTGTTCCCGGCCCGTTTTTTGACCCATAACTTTGGGCGGGAATACTGTTCATTTTTTCTTTTGCTTTTGTATAATAGAAGATGATGATGATGATGATGATGATGATGATGATGATGATGATGATGATAATTATTATTATTATTATTTGGGAGTACCTCTTAGCTCTAAGAGACTCTTCATACTCCAATATAACCTCTTTTTGATAAAATGCTAGGGAAGATCAGGCATTGGACTGCTAAGTTGCTTAGCTATGGGGGGGATTACAATTAGTTCAAAGTGTCGTTCATGCAGTTCAAAATTTTTGGGGCCAAGCATTCTGCCTTCCCAAAAAAGTCATCAAGTTGATTAATACAATGTGTAGACAATTTCTCTGGACAGGGGACACAATTGGTAGAAAATCACCTGTTTCTTGGGAATCAGTGTGTAGACCAAAAGCCGAGGGGGGCTTAGGGTTGATACACTTGGAAACTTGGAACCGAGTATGCTACTTAAAATTGCTTTGGGCTATCCACTTGAAAAAAGATAAATTGTGGATAAAGTGGGTTAATTCTTACTATATTAAAGATCAAAATGTGCTGCATATGGATGTGCTTGCCCATGCCTCATTCACGTTCAAGAAAATATTGAAAATGAGGGAAAAGGTGCAGTTTTTGGGTGATTGGCAGAAGCAATTGAAGGAAGACTTTTTTTAGAAGAAGAGATATGTATGGCCTGCTCAGATCTTCTGTTGCAAAAGTTAACTGGAAGGAAATGGTAATGCAAAATATAAGGCTTCTCCTCGTGCTAGATTTATTTTGTGGTTAATCTTGTGGAATAGAATTGCTACTAAAGATAGATTGTTACATTTCCATATTCCTGTTCCTGATGCTTCTTGTGTCTTCTGTGAAAATCATCTTGAAACAGTGGACCATATGTGTTTGAATGCCCTAAAATTCAGAAACTCTGGGCATGTTTATATAGATGGTTGGACAGAAGACTACATATTTGCAATTGGGCTCAATTTATTCCTTTACTATGCACAAATATGAAGGGGAAGAGGCTGCCTAACAAAATCATGAAAGTTCTGGTTACAGAAATGCTTTATTCTATATGGCAAGAAAGGAACATGAGAAGCTTTACTGATACACATTTGGAACCACAATATCTTCTCAGACAGGTTGTTCAAAAGGTTGCTTGTAGGTTTGCCAAAGATATGGAGATCATCTTGGTTCTTTAATAGATTTACACATTATCCTGTGATTTAATTTGTAGATTTTTGGTAGGTTTTGTTTTCCCCCTGTTTGTTAGGGGTTCTGGTAGGGGTGTGCCATGTTTTTTTTTTATATGTGAGACGGTTGTGCTTATTGGCCATTGGAAAGGAATATAACATGCTTATTTCGTTCCAAATAATAATAATTATTATTATATAATTACTATTATTATAATTAATAATAATAAAGCGATAAATCATGTTTGAAATTTTCTGCTCTGATCTGAATGTTTCTAATCTGATTTGAATCTTTCTGATCTGAATTTTTCTGATCCGGTCTGAATAAAATAAGAATAAGTAATAAGTAATAAGAATAATATGAAGAGAACAACTTCTAAGTCTAGAACATGATATTTGTGTCTATCTCAATAACTTATTCTTTGTCTATCAATTTTTCTAAATGATCCATCACAATCATATTCGATATCTAAAACGAATATATTTTTGCATTGGACAATGACTATATGATCCATCTAGATATGAGAAGTATAATGTTCTTTTTAATCTATTACGAGGAATGAATCCTTTCTTGGCTCAACTACTACTCCATGTGCTTGGTGATGCACCGAACACATGTCGTATCTACCCCGATTGGAGTATATCGCTCCGCACATGTAGTACGTATTGACCTCAAGTTGGAGGACTATTACGCTACTCTATATGCCGATAATCCCATAGAAATATGAATAAAACTTATCAAATGACTTCTCAGTGGGTATGTCAATATTCTCTAAAATATCTATGTAACCATCATGAAATTAAAGGGACTCATAGTTGTGAGATCAACTATACTTTCTAAAAGTATGATGTAGTCCACATATCAATCTTATTGCATATAATCAATATAAGCTCCCACTTACTTATTGATAACATAAGTTCAAGGGAACACAATTATGAATAAGATATTAACAATCGAAATACTTAATCATCAATATGTAATACCGTATATATCAAATATAAAAAACTGAATATATGATCAAGTGCATATATCTCTAAAAAGTGATTGTCGCTATGACATATATATTAATACATGTATCACCTCTTCTCTCAAGTCATACATCTGTTTTTTGACCTCCTCAACCCGTGGTGTAGGATATTCTCTTTTTGCAATGTCTTCTTTCCAAGCAAAGGATCCACACACAGCTCCTACCTGCATCAGTTTGAATTGGACTTAATTTCGGTGTAAAAATATTATCTAGTCCAGAAAGTCGTAGAACCCTAACAAGCAATTCATTTTCAAATACTAATAATACTAAATAAGCTTCAAATATGAAAAAAAACCAAAACTCTAACTTATTAAGCTTGAATTACCTTCCAAAGAACTTGCAACTTGATCCTCTTGTCACACACAAAGGAGATTTCAACCCGCATTTACAATACACATATGGTTCGTAATTGAGATTCGGAGTGACCTTACTATTTGAGACACACGAAGCTAAATACATTTCAACAGTTCTACTGTTTGAACACCTCAATGAAGAACCCTTATTAGGTTAAGAACCCTAAATTTGAAAGATTGGAGAGAGGATGAACTTACTTCATCTTCACATAGATGACCGATTGCTCTGGGTCTTCGACAAAAACCCTACGGTCCGAATTCATAGATGGATGTGCTCCTCTTCTCCAGGGATATATGGTTGTTTGAAATTACTCAGCCACAACTTAACGGGGATAGGGGTAAGAACCGTGAGAGACATTTAACTTAGACCCGTATGTTTTGGGGAGAAGATGCAACCAGGATGACATGGAAAAAATTTCAAATTTGACACACGTACTTGTCCACGTAGGATTCAATAGGTAATCAGGGGTTGGGTCAGACATCTAGACCCGTTAGATTGTTTAAAGATTGTTGACGTGCTAATGTGACAATTTTTTTAGTAGGTGAATTTATGTGATGGTTTCTGAATAGTATGACCTATTTGGCCCTTTTTCTAAATATTTATAAACAGTAAAAAATATAGTGAAATTTTAGCTCCGATCCCCCAACATATATATATATACTATGTATTTATTAAGTCCTACTCCCAACGTGTAATTTCTCGCTTCGCCACTATGGATATGTATACCAAGAACTCTTATACACATATCTTTTGTTTGTGTTCCAAAATAAGCGTGTATAATAGTGCATCAATTTTGCTGTGACCAACAAATATATATGCATTTGTGTACACAAGAAAGTACGAAACTACTTGTGCGTACAAGAATGCAACTTTGGAGTGTGAAAGAGAAGGTTAACTTAGAACTTGTGCTTAAGCATTTATAGCCTCCGCGAAGATACTACTCCGTATAAAATTCTCAAAGATACTTTCCCCCCTTATTACTCTCCCGAATGGCCAAACCCAGCTTTGCAATCATCCAAGTTCTAACCTCCTCCATTTTATTTCTCCGGCAGCCTTCTTTGAGCTCAGTACCTAATGTTTTTTCTGCATTGAAAATCTGCAAATTTTGATGGCTGCTCCGTCTTTCGCTTCCAATTTTTCTCTATCAGGTAATATCTCATCTTCTTGCTCATCATTGTACTCTTGTATTCATTTTTGTGTTGTAGATTTCTAGAGCTGAATTTATGTGTATATGTGCATGTAATACGAAGAGAAATCCTCCCTTAAGAGGATGTAGTGATTTTTTTAATATTAAAAGTTCATCAAAAAGAAGCAAAAGTTGACTTTTAGCAGAAAGGTGAAGCTGATTTAACAGAAAGGTAGTGCTGAAATGCGAATGTAGGTAGTAGCAGTGTAGTGTAATACGGGAGATGGAAGAAGAGCCGGGGCAGCTGAGAAGGGCTTTTGTTGATGCCACGGCTGGGGCAATCTCAGGTGCTATATCAAGGACGGTGACTTCTCCACTTGATGTAATTAAGATTAGATTTCAGGTAATGTTGCCTAGGATGCTACCAAGTTAGACATAGTTCTGGTTTGTTATTACTTTTGTTCTCGTTTTTATGGATGCGACTTGATCTTGTATACGTCCAACTTGAATGTGCTTGTATTTTGAAGGTAGTGGACCTTCTTTGATGTTGTTAGTTATTTTCCAGGTTCAGTTAGAACCTACTGTTCAGTGGGCCTTGCTTCAGAAGCACCCATATCCATCATCTAAGTACACTGGGATGCTGCAAGCAGCCAAGGATATCTTCAGAGAGGAAGGGTTGCGGGTATGAATGTTTTCAGTACACATTTGAGACTTGTCTATTTAAAACCAATATCAGTGTCATCTATTGGTAGACATAGATCCACTTTTTGCTTATAATGATTAAGCATAATAACTTCCTTCTATTTCATGTTTTCCTTTTCAAGGTAACATCTTTATGGCTTACCCATTTGTTGGTGACAAATTTATAATTCATTATTGTGCAAATTAAACTACACATTTTTTATCCTCCTCCCTTACCCACCCCTCCAAGCACACCCATCTTCTGTCAAGTAATGCACTTTTTTATGCAGTCCAGGAAAGTTAGGTAACAAGTATTAAATGCAAGGAAATATTAGGGATTGCAATGGGAGTTTATGATGGGATTAGTTCCATCTTCTTGAACATAGAAGGATTAAGAATAGGGATTGTAATTAGAGATAGTTATTTTACAGAAGTCTTAAAAAGATTAAGAGGCTATGCTGAAATGTAACAGAATAACCTTTACTCCTTAGGAAAATCAGGCTACACCATTCCACTTTTGATTCAAAAGAGGGTAGGTGAAAGGTCCAAACTGGAGAATAGACGGAAGTGAAATAGTTAGAAATAGGTTCTGTTTATTCAATGGAAAAGCGAGGGGAAGGAGAAGTAGTAATTTTCATTAAAATGTGAAGGAATTTTTTAATTAAAAATATAAAATCTAAATTTATGATAATGCAGGAAACAATTTTTTATTAAAAAGCGAAACAAAAACTTATTCAAAACCTCTCAATCGATAGAGTGAGGTAAGAGGAGTTTCAAGGACCCCATAGCTCTCTGCATACCTTCCACCCTAAGTCCTAACTCCTCCAACCAAATAGGCAAATACACACTAGCATTCCCTCCTCACTTTCTCCCCCTTGCTGACGTTCCCGACAAATAAGATTTCGGGACTCTTATTCTTGTCTCTCATCTTTTCACCGTCAAATTTTTAGTTTCTCATTAAACTTGATTAAAACTTTATTGAACATCCTTAATTCTGGAACTCCTTTGCAGGGATTTTGGCGTGGTAATGTTCCAGCCCTACTTATGGTAATGCCATATACTGCCATACAATTCACGGTGCTTCATAAATTGAAAACCTTTGCTTCTGGATCTTCAAATTCAGGTTTATAGTTATATTTCATATCCCGTCTTTAAATACAAGGCAGCTACATATTTAGTTAGTTTATCTTCCAAACACTCCACTCTTACAGTTAGATGTACTAGCACTACATTTATGTCCATTGAGTTCAGATGTGCTTATTTATGTTGCACTGATCCTGGATAATAATTTTGTACTTGTTTTTATGTTAAGCATTGAAATGGGACATGTTTTTATATATTCTGTCTTTTTTTAAAAAAACTAAGATGTAAATAAATGCCATGAAATGAATTATCTAAATAATCTTTAACGAATGCGATGCTGATGAAATCTTTAACATATCATGCCAGTTGTCTATCTTATACATATGTATCTTACACTTGCTGTTTTCCCTGATGCAGAAGACCATATTAATTTGAGTCCATATCTATCATATATCAGTGGGGCGTTCGCAGGCTGTGCAGCTACTGTTGGATCCTATCCATTTGATCTGCTAAGAACCATTTTAGCTTCACAAGGGGAACCAAAGGCAATGTTTTTAATATCATGAATGCAATGTAGTAATCTTTGTAATAGGCAAATTAATAGTTTTTTTATGACCTGGAAATAAATTAAAACAAATATGGCTATTCATCCGATGCAAAGAAGTTTGTCATTCAACCTTTTTACATGATGCATTGAAGACTGAGAATCTGAGAAGGGTTACCTGCATGCAGGTTTACCCGAGCCTCAGATCCGCGTTTGTTGATATCCTTGAAACTCGTGGTATTCGAGGTCTATATTCTGGATTGAGTCCTACCCTAGTGGAGATCATTCCCTATGCTGGCCTGCAGTTTGGTACATATGATACATTCAAGCGCTGGACAATGGTAAGTACTTATGTTTGATCTGTGAAATGCTAGGGGTGGGAAAGCAAATGCTAAGAATTTTATTTTCTTAGTTCCGGACTTTCAGTTTACCTTGGAAAATGCTAGGGAAAATGAAATACGTTATACATTGGACTTGTTTTAAAACTCTAGATATATTTAGATTTCATACTCTCTATATAATTGGAATAAATAAATAAAAATACGTTGAACAAATATTTAAATTAATATTATTAGTATTGAAGTGTTAAATTATTCTTTTATTTTCTCCGGAACTTTTGTTCCTACCAGTTTTCTTCTCTATTTTCCTTTGCTAGTATTTTCCGAGCTCTAAACAGACCCCAAAGATGCATGTTTACTTCTTGATTTTGGGTTGTCTGCAATTTCTAGGCTTGGAACCGTAGATCATCAAATACGAGCAACACTGATGATTCTCTTTCACGCTTCCAGCTTTTTCTATGTGGATTAGCAGCTGGGACATGTGCAAAAGTTGTTTGTCATCCCCTTGATGTAGTGAAGAAGAGGTTTCAGGTTAGTTCCTACTTCCCGCTGGTATAACAATATAGCACCGGTTGCATGAATGTCACCACCACCACCAAACCCATCAGACTTCGGCGTCTTGTGGTCCACGCCAAGCCCACACTCCTCTTGGCACATGCACTGTTCACATGCACGGTGCCTCTTGTGTCAAGTCCGCACAAGAGGGCCACATCTCTCATGGCACACTCACTTTTGATGCGTACAGTGCCCCTTGATGATCTTCAGGGTACCATCAATTGCCACAAACACCCACCATGATTTTGTATCACCAGAGAAGTAGTTGCGTATAATTGCCCTTTCCGTATTGTATCCCTGGAATTGGCCCAGTATCCAGTCAGTGGCCCTGCTCTGTTTCTTTAAGACCGTGTTGGGACAACGGCATAAAACTTATGCTCCCTCTCTCCCATAACGTTGTTCTCTTTTTCTTTTTACACTCTCTTTAGGCAGTGAAATTGAATGATTGAGATGTATTTAGAAAAGAATAAATTTAATTGGGATAATCAGGAAATATACTATAATAGCACTAAAAAAACTGTAATAGACTAATAGCAATCCCAACTCATTGTCGTGTGATGATCTTTTCCATGTAACTTGGAAAAGATCTATATGATGTAGGTTTTGGAAATTCATTTCATTATTCCTTGGTAAGAAGGCTGTAACCAGAAGGAATGTGAAATTTTGCCATATTGTTTTTGCATAAATGGGATGACTAAATTTGAGAATTAGTTGAAACCTGATTTAAACATTTGAGCCCAACACAGACTGGTGTCCAGTAGAATAACAAGCCGTAGCCCAAAATTAGTGTCCAGTAAATTTGTGTTTGCTAATAGCCTAATAATATACATGAGTTCATCATCATCCCATAATTTGCTAAGTTTTTGTTAACATCACATCCGTACTCATCTTGGACATCTAATATATCATTGCAGATTGAAGGACTAAAGAGGCATCCAAGATATGGTGCTCAAGTCAAGCTTAATGCCTACAGAAATATGTATGATGCTCTCAGTCGCATTTTACTCCAGGAAGGATGGGCAGGGCTTTATAAAGGCATTGTCCCATCAGTTATTAAAGCTGCGCCAGCAGGTGCAGTAACCTTTGCGGCTTATGAATTCACATCAGATTGGTTAGAAACGATTTTAACATGAACTCAACCCTGCTTTTTTCCTCTTTTACTCTCCCATCTGCTGGGATCAGTTTATAGTTTTTAACTGTTTTTTCCCCTTCTCACCTCAGAGGGTGGGGTTGTTTATATTGCTCAACTTCACAGGTGTTTGATACTTCAGTCATAGGAAAAGAAAAGGAAAGGAAAGGTTATACATAATATGTTTTCCAGAGTTGTAGCTGGGTTTGGGCAATAATAATTAATACAAGATGTTCAATGGGTCATCTGATCGAGTCATTTATTGTTTTTAACACTCGGTAGCACCTTTCAGGTCTTCAAGCCTATTATCAAGATTCCAACGAATGACAATTCCACCAACACTTGAGATTAATTACTAACTGAAAGCAAAAAACATAATGAAGGAGAGATTACTGATAACTCTCATCCTAATGTATCCAATGCCTGGCTTAAGTTCTATTTTGTCTTGATTCTCTAACATTCTTCAGAAAATCAGTCCAATAGTTGAAAGAAGGAAAAAAAAGCCTTTCTTGATGTTTCTCCCATCATGAATTTCTTGAAGTTTCTGGATCTTGTTTTTTCTTTCCAGAATGAAACCCGTACTGGGAAGGCAGAAAGTCTGACTTAGGTCTGGTTCCCCCCCAATGTTTTTTTGGCTTTTTTTTCCTTTTTGAAATTTTGGATGGTGCTACTTTTCTTGCTTGGCTGACTGTTGGAGATACCTGGTTGCTTGTTTTTACATTCAAAATAAAACATTCGCGGTTCACCTTAAAATGACCCAGGTACTGAACTAGAATTGGTTGGGTAAACCAGGCTTGGACTTGCAATAACTGGTCCCAGACTCCCAGTTATAGCGAGTAGTTAGCACCAATATATGACCAGAACCAGACCGGGATAACCCCTAAAATGAGTAGGGCTGGGTCCGGAAAACCAAAAACCGAATCAAATTAAACCGAACCGCGACCAAATAAGACCGAACTGCTAAAAACCGAAACCGAATGTAAAAAACCAAATCGAACCGTAATTATTTGGTTCGGTTTTGGTTTTTACCCTTCAAAACCGAACTGAACAAACCGAACTATTTAAAATATGAATTTTTTTTGTTAATTTTTAAGCATTAATCCTAATATTATCAATAGTCTTTGATTATTATGTGCTAGAGAAATAATGTTTGTGTTATGTTTAGTTTAGTTTAGTTTGTAATTGCATTTACACATTCATTGCCTATAATAATGTAGCTATATTGATCGATTTATGTATGTTGCAATTTGTTGCATGATTATTGTTTTTACTGGTGATTAGTATTAATTAAATTTTATTTTTATGTAACTTATTTTTTTTATCGGTAAAACAAATAAATATTCATCTTAGCTATATAAAGTATCACATAGGACGTATGTATTCATGAACTTTTTTCAAACTAGACAAACAATGTAAATTAAGAATGTATACACATATGTCTTCCGCATCCTCATATAATTCAAGACATGTTTATTTACTCTTATTTTTACTTCATTTATTCTAGTATGCTTGCATTTTTTATGTAATTTCTTTGATCCCTCCAACTATTATATCAATTTTAAATTAAATGACAAATTTTTAGTAAATAACCGAAGGAACCGAAACCGAACCGAAAAAAATCGAACCAATCAAACCGTGGTTCCAAGTTTCGGAGTGTAAAACCGAACCGAAACCGAACAGAACTTTTACTTTGGTTCCGTATTTGGTTTTAGGTCAAAACCGAACCGAAAGAACCGAACCCACCCCTAAAAATGAGTGATTCTTCTTGTTAGTGTTAATGGGCCTTGGTCCCACATCACTAGTTGAACAGTACATCCGTACCCTCAGGCAAAATAAATACACCTAGAGAAATAATGACCCTTCCCGTAGCCCAAGTTGATACGGATTTTAACATTACCTTGCTTCAGTTGCTTGGATAGACTGGTGGGAAAGACGTGGATTCCACTAGGCATGGCAATGGGTCGGGGCGGGGCGGGTACTGCAAGACCCGGACCCGCCCCATGACTTGGCGGGGCGGGTCCGCCCCGCCCCGTGACCGGCACGGGTCCAAATTTGTTGACCCGTGACCCGCCCCATGCGGGGCGGGGCGGGGCGGGTCCGCCCCACCCCGCCGTAACCTAATTAGCTAATATGTATTTCTATTTGTGGGAAGTTGTTACCAATTGAATATACATAAAGTTTATCTCTGAATAATAATTAAAAATTAATATATTAAATCAAATTCATGATACGCTAAAAATTTCAAAAATTGAGAAAAAATTACTCAGACTTGAATAGTTAATCTATTTAATTATATTAATAATTGAATATATGTATTAAAATGCTATATATAACGCATACATTGATAATCCGCTGTTCATCTCATTTTAGTATATATATTAATATATTATAAGATCAAAGAATTTAATATTTATTGTACACATACATATGAATGTTGAAGTATATTTGTAGTATAATTTAAAAAAAATATATACATTTTTATATTGAGCGGGGCAGGTCGAGGCGGGTCGGGGCAGCACGGGTCAATACTAAGACCCGGACCCGCCCCATTGTATGGGCGGGGCGGGGCGGACCCGTCCATTTGCAAGACGGGGCGGGTCGGACCCGCCCCAAATGTCTCGGGCCAGGGCGGGTCATTGCGGGTCGGGTTTTTTTGACATCCCTAGATTCCACACTATTTTTTGGCACAAGGTGGAAGGTGAATGAGAATAATAATGTGTAAGGTTACAGTGTCCTTTTTATTTTGAAGGTTATTTCTAAATTATTATTAAAATAAAACTTATTAATATAAAATATGACATAAAGTTAGTATAGTATTGTGTAATGATCGTTCAAGCGTAAAAATTGAGCTTAAGTTATAAATATGTCACAATTTGTTTACTTAATGACAGTATGACACCATTTCATCAATTAATTACTAATTATAGTTACGGATATGAACGCATGTTTCAACAATGTACTTCCCATTTACTAACGGAGTACTACGTATATTGTTACATACTTACATGTTTCAACATTGTACTTCCCATTTATGAACAAATACTATGTATATTGTATGTATGGTATGTATTACAGGTACATGTTTTTATTGATATTTGAAATACATTTATTTACAGATTATCTTTTGTATATTCGTTCGAATTTTTTTAGTATAAATATAAAATAATGATGACTTCCTATATAAATGTTATCAATACGTAAGTGGTGTGTTTGGCCTTAAAGAGGACTGCATGATGTAACCAGAGGATTGTGTATGGACGTAAGAGAGAGTAGTCTAATGTAGAAGAAAAAAATCAATCATTTTCCTTCCAAGTCACCCCAACTTCGGACGGTTGAGGGTTCACCTCCCCCCACCGCCTACCATCTCGGTCTCCTTTACATTCCTTGAACATAACCAGAGAAGTATATGAGTTTTTTCCAAAATAACGCTAATTTAATAAATAATTCCTAAAATACTGTTGGGTTAAAAATAATTCTCAAAATAATGTTGAGATTAATCCTGGTTAACAAAGACCCATTTGAGCCGGCGACTTTCGTATCATCGCCGATTGTAGCAACCGGCCCGGCCCGGTGGCCCGGTCCAACGGCGGTTCGGGTCGAACCGGCCCGGTGGATACTGGTTCCGGGCCCGGGCCCTCCATTTGGTGAACCGGCCCAACCGGTTCGGGCCCGGCCTGGGCCAGAATTATTTTTTTTTTTTTGAAATTTTTTTAAGTTTTGGGGTGGATTAGGTATTTTGGGCCATTTGAGGTGGTTTGGGGTTGAGGGGGAGGGATAGGGGGTTAAATAAGAGAAGCAAAAAAAAAATATGACCCGAGTGGCCCGGCCCGGAACCGGGAGCCACCGGTTCGGGTCCGGGCCCTCCTTTTGGTGAACCGAGGCCCGGCCGGTTCAAGGCCCGAATCGTGCCCGGCCCGGACCGAGTCCACCCATATCGCCGAACATAATGAAGCAAGGAAACGTATGCAGCAATTCAAATCATTGTAGTGGGACCCAAACTTTTAAAAAAACAATCTCTCTAATTCTTTACATTGCTATAAAAAAATATTCCTAACATGATATTGACAATTTTTTATATCTTTCATATGACACCAATATTGCATATACAATAACAAAAAATCTTAAAATACAATTGCTGGAATTTTTCTAATTTGATCTAAGTTCTAAAATTAAGAGCATGTTTTGTAACATTGAAGTTGATTGAATCTGCTGAAGTTGAAATTATGAGTCAAGTGGCAGGATTGATCGAGTTGTCTTAGTTATAGAATAATTATTTTTAAATACATTTTATTTATAACATAAAGAAAAATTATATGAAAATAAAATAACTAAAATGTTTATTTACAGAATCTTCGCCTAGAAAAGTAACTTCAAGCCTGTGCAAAAACTATCTCTGACTCTAATTAATGGTCATCACGTAACTAAACATCAAAGAGAGTTGGCTGCGTTGAAATGTAAACGACAACTTTAGGTCGGATGGAGTCGAGCTAAGTTTCCAAATAAGAATTTTTTGTCCTCCATTGATTCCATACATCATCCGAGCATCGAGAGTATGGGCTCCGAGTATAGTGAACATAACACGAGTGCCATTTCTCAATCCAAAACACATGGCTTGGCACACAAGAGCATTTAATGGTATTGAAAATTTTTGGAAAGTGGATCTCTTGTAAGAATGCACTATCTGAGTCAAAAGAAAACGTTGAATCTGAGCTTTAGTATATCTTTACCTCACATGCAGTTAGTACCAACATGTAATCATTGATCTTATCGCGTTTATCAATGGTTGGCGCTAGAATTGCCTTGGAATTAAAATAAAAAATGTCATTACATTGTTTTTCAAAATTGGGATGTGTTCTTAACAATAGCTTCAATTGGATCATCCATTATAATAGCTAAAATGTTCATTTATAGAATATTCGACAATAAAAGTAACTCCAATCTTATCAATTTTGATTATTTTAAGTATGATACAATATATAGTAACTTCAGCCAATTTCATATTGTGTTGACGATAGATGAATTGTATATTAATCAAAATAAGTAAGACTAAAGTTACTATATATTGCATAATAATTACAATAATCAAAATAAGTAAGGTTGTATTTACTTTTCGTGTATAATAATTAATATTGTATATTAAGATTCTCTAAATGATCATTTAATTATTATCATATACCCGTAATTTTTATTTAAATTATTAATAAAATATAGTTTAAAAATAATTATTTGATAACTAAGAAAATTTAGTCAATTCAGCCACTTGACTCGTAATTTTATCAATTTTAGCCAATTCAGTCAATTTCGGCATTACCAAACATGCTCTTAATTTTAGAACCTGGACCGACTTAGAAAAATTGAATATGACAACCTCCACCAAACGTATTTTTGGATTATTTTTTTTTTGTATATGCAATATTAGTGTCATATGAAAGATAATAAAAAATTGTGAAATTTTGATGTATTGTTTGTAAATATCAGATTACAAATAAAAAGTTATAGCAATTTAAAGAAATAGAGATTTCTTTTTTTAAATCTCTACAGTGATTTGAATTGCTGCATTCCTTTCCATGCTTGGTTCCGTTCGCCAACTCCAACCGCATCTTTGTTAACGGGTGTTAA